ATATAAACTAATAGACCACTTATGTTTTATATATTTATGACCATGTTTGTTTAAACTAAGATGAATATGGCTGATTCTGATGAGTTAGTAATAACCCACTTAATGACAGCTGATGATTGTACAATATAGCATGAAATATACATATAGTTGTATGGGGTCATTGGTGATTCTTATAGTAAGAATCTTACAGTAAGAAAAAGACTACTGGAATATTTATAACCTGCCATACTGAAACACAATGGAGAATGCCAATGAAAGTACAGCTAAGGCATCAAGGAGTCATTGGTATATGTGCCCTTCCATATTATCTTCAGAATGTATATATTCATGAAGAAACTCTTCTTCATACAATAAACAAACTGCTATGTATTGACTGTATATAATTGTGTTAAATGTGCTAAAGTGTAACTAACCTTTATATGACCTTAACTGTTAACTGTGCTAAAGTGAAACTAACCTTTAGATGACCCCAACTGTTTTGAAGGGAAATTTAGAACATTTATATTTGGGCAGGCTTTTTTCTAGTTCTATGATTGGTTAAGGCACTGTAGGCCTAGAGTATAAATCACAGGCATTTGCCTGCAGTTCCTCAGTTCCATTTGGTCTGGTTCTTGCCCACTGAAACCCATTGCACAATACAAACCATATATATATTCACAGAATTTTCTGGGTGTCAGTCAGCTGTATGAAAAGAGAAGGCCCAATTTTAGTATTGCTGATAATCACATTTTGAAATTATAGAAATACTATATATTACCATTTAAAAAGTCCCCCTTCAGGCCATTCCAGATTCTAATATAACCTAAAAAATACCATTGCTTTAGAACTTATGGTACTATGAATCCCATGATTGGAGTGTGATGCAAGACTTGAAACCTCTAGGTGCCTATAACAGTTGTGCATCTAGCATTTATTATTAAGCAACAGTTAAAACAGAAGATGATTCCATTCAGTTACTAGTGATTTCTAGAGCTTGGGTGGTTGTGAAGTGTTATTAACTTTTCCTTTTCTAAGTAGAAACAGAATTAACACTTATGCAAAATGCATTTATGCCTCAGAGAACTTCAGTGGAAACAGCTACAAACTCTTAGATTTAATTTTCTTCGGTTTCAAGCACGTATGTGCTTCAGCATTCCCACTTCTCTCTCCATTGCCTTTAAACCAAGCATCCTCTTAATTTCCAAGTGGGCTGAATTAGCTAGTTTCATATGGTGGCCACACATTGAGTTTTGGCAAAACACGCAAAGCTTCCTTATCACCCACAGAGGCAGCTGATTATAAACAGACTTTCCAAATGTACAAAGAGATGTCTATCTAATAAAGACCATTTCTCCATCATCTCCACTTTGGCTGTAACAAATTGTTTCCTGGACCTGTATACCTACATTTTGTTCTCAATAATAAGTTTAGTTAGAATTTATATATTTTTTAAAATTAATGACATTCCTTTTTAAACCATTCCTACGGAATCTAACTCTTGAGCTGTTAAATATTTGGCTATTCCTCTCTTCCTACCACAAAACTTCCAAGCAGAGAATGAAAGATTTAAAAGGAATTTTACTGACAGTCATATTAGATGATAGCTGTTCCATTGGAAAGATACCATGATTCTTCTAAAAGAAGAATCAATTGAAAATGATAGGANTTTTTATTTATTTACTGGACCGTGGTAATTATACCCTTAAGCATAACCTTTGCTGATTGTCAATATCCAAACCAAATGTCGCAACTAATAAGGTAGAGGCTGACAGTCAAGAATGATTGCTACTTGATCTTACAGATATCCTTGTTCAGATTGTCATCATCCTTTAAATATTGTCTGGTCATGAGGCCTTTAGTCTCACTGCACGGCTGCAATTCTCAGTTTTATGCCCTGCAGTACTTGCAGCATTGACGAGTTGCAAATGTGGTACTGCCTGCAAGAATCTTAAGTACTTCTTCAGTCTGCAGATAGATTGGGTTTGTAAAAGTAATGGTGGAATGGATTCTAGGAACATCATCCTTTTCCATCTTGCTATCTTGTAAATGGATCTTATACTTCAGCATGGATTTGATCATGGACTAGATTGCATGTGAACTGCAGAGTTTAGACAAGGATGGGCAAATCTAAAGCATTCTGTTAGGACAATTATGCCACTCCTGATTTGCAAACCATTAATGTAAGCAAATCTATAGGTTTACCTAGAAAAAAATCTATAGACCTACTATAGAAAAAAATAAGAAAAAGGCATCAGTAAGAATGTTAGATTAAAGTCACACTTACCAGTGAGACATTGCCATGACACAAATAGCCAACAATGTATATAGCAACATACATAAGTGTTATTTGATAGAAAGCTACAGTTCTGGTTTTTATCAGTAGCATTTTTATTAATAGTATAATGACTCAACATTATGACTCTGGGTCATTATCACATTTCCACATCCCACCCAATATAATACAGAGCAATGACAGCTTAAGTTTAGCAATAATGTCACTGACAGCTTTTGTTGCAATTTAGTCATTACTCCAGCAGAGAACTTATACATTTATTTATTGCATTTATCTCCAAGGGAATGCATATGAAGGCATTCTTTATTTTTATATCCACAGCAATAACTCTGTGGAATTGGTTGGGTTGAAGATCATTGGCAGCTTGCCAGAGTCTAACCTGATCCAATTTTTTAACTAGTATAGGAAACTGGCTTAAAGTTGCTTCATCTTTGCTTTCTTCTTTCTTTGATATATTCTTAATTTTATTAAATGTATCTCCACTTTCCCTTCTGCTATCTGAAATTCTATTCAACTCAACCAGCTATTCAACATAGCACTAAATTGCTACTATGCTAATGCAAATTTTGGAGAGACAGTCTTGATATGAAACACTGCATGCCAGAAGGGGAACCTTGCCATATCCCACATCAGTCTCTTTGCAAAATCCTTCCTCCTTTAAGTGAAGCTAGCATTCTCTGATTAAGTCTTTTACACTGCAATATAGATTCTCAGATTTACAGACTAAAAGAAATTTAGGTGGTACACAATTCTTTGTCTTTTTTGCATCTAACCTTGCTACATATTTAGTTATCCTTTTTTTTTACCATAGCCTCAAGATAACTGTGGGAAGGGACATAAAAAGATGGAGAATTAAACTAATATTTTGTTCTAATCACACACTATACATGCATAATCAGGACAATGTCATTCAGTGGGGACTTGGAAGAGAGGTAGTATAAGGAATTGGCAATAGGGGTAGCAATTTTCATGCCTGTATAGTTTTCTGCCAACACAAGGTTGGGTGATAATACTTTAACTCAGCAGTGGGGAAAGGTTCTGTGTCAATGAAAAAGAATTCCACCAGCTGCAATCATTTGACCTTTGTATCGCTTATTCAACGTTTCACTGGAGTGGTTCAATTTCATTGAAATGGATCCATGAAGTGAAGCAGCATGGTGCTTTTACTTATGGTTCAGAGCAGTTGAACTTTGCTTCAGCAGCTTCTCTGGCTCTTCGTTGGTCTTCTGTATATATACAGCACATACAGAGAAGCCATTTGCAAAGTAGCCAGCTGGAATGGATCAGTGCTGCTTTGACATTTCACATGAAGCATGTCAACCTCTGTTGCTTCACTTGTAGTTTGGGAACCATCTCAAATTAAACAATAAGATGGGTTGTGCCTATTTTGCACAGGCCTATTGCTTGTGCCCATGTAAAGCTTCATGGATATATGATTACACCAGTAAGTATTCTTACTAGTCAAAGGCAGCAAAATCTTGGAACATTTATTCTAGAATTGGATTCCTAATTTATACCAGCCTGAGGATTATGCATCTTGCATTGGAGTTCCCTTTCAATGTAATTATGGGAGGGGAAAAAGATTTTCCCCTTCCAGCTCAGCTGAGTTTCAATAATATTCTCAGTGATCATAATTCTATAGCAATTTCCTGTCTTGGATTGTTCCATTAAACCCAAACCGTGGCTCATACTATCTTTCCCCAGTAATGGAACATATGATCTAGTGCTGAGTCAAAACAATAAGGGTGTAATTAAAATGTAAGTACCTTTTAGTTAAATAACATTTTGTTTCCCCTTGGCCTCTTTTACTGCTTAAAGTATTATTCTTAGTTTGCCACTCCAAAACAAGAGCAACCTTGATCTAAAAAATACTGACTATGTATGGTTGCGCAGATCTTTGGATTCAAAGACAAAAATATGGATGGGTATGAATATACCACCTGTTGGCAGTTCTTTCAACCCAGGATTATGCTGCAATTAGGAAAGGCAACTGTGTGATCCTTGGAAAAGATGCAGCTGCTTGAGGGGGCTGCTGACAGGTTCTATGTGAATCTCCTTGAGTGATCCAAAGGACCTTTTCTCCTTCAAATGCAAAACTCTAAGCAACACTATTATGCTGTAGCTTTGTATTATGTTTGCTAGTTCTGATCTGGTGTCATTTTTCCCCCTTCCTGTCTTCTTACAGGTAGATAAAGTATGTGGACATCCAGAAGAAAAAGAAGTGAAATCTTTGCCAGACAGCATAATTCAAGCAAAGGAAATAGAGAGACCACCTCAAACAATGGCCCACTCAATAACTATTAACAATAAAAGGAGGTAATTTGAAAAGAAAAATGTTTCCTTATAAATTTTGGGTGAAAGCTTCCCCAAATGATGATGATGAGAGTAATTCTGATTCTCCCACATTTTCATCATGTATTAAAGACCCTTGATTTTCAAACAGATGAAAAACAAACTGGAAAGAACTGTCATGTTTTACTTTTTAATTACAATAAATGAATTAAACAAATGTATATTAACTGTGGAAAAAGCCTATCTGTAATTAGTATTGAGTTAAATATATAGAGTTATAGATCTTTAATTAATCTAAGGCAATCCAGTCAAGGAGCCATTGATTTCAGTAATTGATGGGCATAAAACCTTGAATAGAAAATCTGACAATAAATATCTTGATGTGTAAAATCAGTTATAAAATCAGGATATAGAATAGAAAATTAGCAAGGCTGTAGCTTACACTAGTGGAGTGCCTACAGTTTTCAGGTTTCTAACTAAGCATACACTGATGATGAAAGGAACTGAGATAAAATCAATAGTAGAAACATGGCCTAGAGGTTAAAATCTTAGATATTTCAGTAATTTGCAACTGGCAATGTAAATTAACATCAGCTCTGAATTACTGAAAATTCTTAACTTTGTTTAAATAGTAGGTCCTACTTCAACCACTGACTTAGACTCAGTTAACTTAAATGATTTTGCTGTCACTTGCTAAGATATCTGAACCAGCTGAAGTGAGTGATTCTTAAGTGAATTGGCTAGTTGTGTTCTCCACTGCTGTAGTGTAAATCAGCAAGTGACAGCTAAATAGTTATACAGATAGAGAAAAAAGTTTATGATTGCCTTTTACACCATTTTCCAAGATGGTGATATTATCAGTTTAAGATTTTACTTCTTGGATTCCTTTGCTCTATCCTTATGGCTAATGTGTCTTCTCAAAATAGTAATTTCTTATTTACTGCTGTTTGCCCTTATTTTCCATTTCCCATATCTTTCTAGTTTTGTGAAACCTTTTTCTCTGGGACATGGCTGGCTTGTTAGAAAGTTTCATGCTGTTCTAATTAACCATCGCTATGCATGCAATGATATATCTATTAAGCAGACCCTGGGAGTGGCTGTTGTCTTGCAGAAATGTATAAGCAATGTAAATACCTTTTTTTAAATATACCTAATAGTTTCAGTATTAAGAGACAGTGCATTTTGAAATCACAAGGGCGAAGGCATTACATGCATGGTACTACATCTTAAATCTGTGACTGTGTAAAAAAATATTTCATACACTTGGCTCATTTTTTATTTTAAAAAATAGTGAATTATAAAGGTGATATTCTGGGCAATATAAGCATCTTCTTATATATTTCCCATAAGGAATACTGTAAACAAGGCAATTTCAAAAACTGACACAGTGTCAGACCCCATTAGTACTTAGATAGTATATGACTCATCTATCAGAGCTATAAACTAGATTGCAGCTAAAAAATTCCCTGAAGATATTTGGTGAGCAGTTCTGTAACGCTGCCAACCTTCTGCTTAAATTGTTGTGTCCATGTATATACCAGAAGTTGAGTTTACATCAAGGGCTTCTTTATCTTGGGGCTTCTGGAAACTGAACTGTTCTGGACGTTACTACTGTGTTTTCCCGAAAATAAGACAGGGTCGTATTTTCTTTTGACCTCCCCCCCAAATTTTGCTTGGGCCTTATTATCAGGGGACCTTATTGGTTTGGGTTGCTGGGTGGCTGCACTCTTGTGAGTGGGCGCCCGAAGAGCTGGGCACAGCCTCAGGGGCAAACGGCTGTGTTGCACTGTCGCAGCAGTGNTGCTGCATTTAACCACTGCGACAATCATGACTTGGAAGCATGAACAGTAGAAACACATTCTGATGAATTAACAGCAGGAAGCATATCATCAAATGCTTTTGGTAGCAGGCTATATTGTATTTATAACTCTCTGCTCCATCATCTCAAAGGACAGGTCCCATATAACGTGGCACTAATTGGGATCAGTGTTGTACTTTTGCTTAAATTGTCACATCCCTGAGAGGGCCATTCTTTTCTAAGAAGATAAAGGGGGTTGCTTAAAATTTGGAGTTTATTATTACGGGACTAATAAAACCACTCAAAATTAAACAGATTAAATTTATGTTGACTTTTTAGATTTAATCATATGCTTTAATATTTGTGTCCTCAGCTTGAATTTTGATGTTATATTCATTATATTAAAACTACTCCTATAAGAATATAAATATTACTGTGTTGAGTTCAAAAAACTACATAATATTTTGAATGTTGCTATTGCACACAAATAGTATTTATATACAGTGAATTATACAAGGGACTCTATGACCTTAGCTTCTTTTTCCTATCACTATTTGGAACAAAACTAGATTACTAGAGGTCACTGCCAAAAAAAACTTTGTATTTTACATCTTGCTTTGTTTTTTTCAAATTAGCTATCTGAAAAGATTCACCTTATAACTGGTAAGATGTCCCTTGCTTGGCCATACACTTTACATGCATTTACTTACTTACTGCACCTTGACCCTGCATCTTAATTGTTCCACAACTGAAGAATTTTGCCCTTTTCTTATTTGAGAAATATAAAAATTCAAGAGTTCTGCATGAGCTATTATGGTAAATTGACACAAAAATTAAGATGAACGGACAGAGAAATCTACCTGCAGCCTCTGTCAGTTTTTTTAAATATATTTTCTCTTTGTGTTTTGCATAGACGTCTACCTATGTGCCATTTTCAAATGTGTGTAAAATATGTATAGGTTCCTGGTTAGTTGCAAATGAAGTAAATATAACATTAATTTAGTCTGCAATCCAGAGGTTCATAGAACAGTGACACAAAGATGAATTTTCCAGAATTCTGTTTCTGAGACTGAAGGGAATGAGTGAACTTCATTCTTGTCAGGGAAATTTCATATTGGATGCAATTCTCCCACCTCCTTCATGGCAAAGCCCAGTGCCAGGAGGTGGAGAGAGAAACACAGTGGAGGATACAAAGATGCACAACTGCCTGGGCTCCATGAAACCAGCATACATGTTCTTCTATATTCCAGGGTACGCAACATTAAATATTTTGATCTCAGTTGTTTCTTACCAGCCTAACATTGTATGTTACTTAGAACATTTGATATTAAAGTAGTGTTTTTCAACATTTGATATTAGTGTTTTTCAACATTTGATATTAAAGTAGTGTTTTTCAACATTTGATATTAAAGTAGCATTTTTCAACATTTGATATTAAAATAGTGTTTTTCAACCTTGTCAACTTTAAAATGTGCGGACTTCATCACCCAGAATTCTCCAGCTGAGGTTGAGAAACACTACATTAGAATATTTGGAAGAAGCATAGGATTGCTTTAGCAAAGAACAGAATAATTATTTTGAAATGCTTGACATATTTCAGGAGTGCTAATCTACACTAAGTATTTCAGAAAGTGTATGCATTTTTTGGGGGAAAGTATTTTATCAGCTTTTTGGCTAGATATCCAAAACCGCAATAAACATGCCTTATTTGGAAACATCAAATTATGCCAGTGTTAATTAAAACATGTTGTTAAACTTGAACAACACAATTTTTTATCACCATTAAGGAATTTATCAATGTATTGGCAATCATCAGGAACTATTGATCTTAGAAAAATTAACTGTTGGGGTTCAAATTGTAAAAAAAAAATCCCTTCAGAAGTGTATTTAATGCTAAATTG